ATGAACTGCCCCTACCTCTATACCTGCAATGTGAGCTTGTGTCTCTGTCTGCAGCCTCAGCTTAGAATTTGAAGCTGCATCGACCTTTAGCACAAACCTGAAAACTATCAGCTTCTACATCCACCTGTGAAATATAAAAGCCTCTTGTGCCTCCTACTCAAGCCTCCACCAGCAACCTGAAGTGGCTTCCACCCTGACAGCTGCAGTCTCTGCCAAACACCAACACTAACCACTTCCAACTGAAGCCAATGCAGCACATCAGTAACCAATGCCTCCACCTGTAGCCTTGAACAGCAAATTGAGCTGCTGACTCCAACATTCAGCCACTTCACCCTCCACCAGCAAGCATTGCCAGAAACCATCAACGTCTTACTTCACTACACTGCAGTTGATGCGTCCAAGTCCATCCTCTGCTAGCAACCTGCAGACAGCAGCAGCATACCTTAACCTCACCTGCAACCATCTCAATCCTAAATTGTAGGCTTACAATTGCAGCCCATACCCTCCAACTCAAACTTCTGATCAACACCAGAAGCTTCTGCCTCCAACTGTAGGCTCTGGCAAAAAAAATCAGCTGCTGCCTCCTCATACAGCACATGTAAGAAACAATCACCAGCCTCCACATACAACATAAAACAAGTCACTTGCCATTCCTCCGACTGAAGCTTGGCTGCAAGCTTGGACAAACATCTCAAAATTTCAAACTGTCTCATTAAAAGGACATTTTTTTCAATTAATAAACAAAGTCTATTGCACTCTTTAAATAAGTCTGTGAACTGTTTCTGACTTGAGTATCATGAACAAAATATTGAAAGGCAGCTAAGCCTTCATCATCAGTTCTAAAAGTGAAACTCTACGATGTAGCAACTTACTGTAACATCCACTCGCTGAAACTGGCTAGAACTGTTCTGTTTATTGCTTTTGTGCTGTAAATTAAGCTCAAACACAGATGTGCATTTTAGAGCATCCTGTAGTAGTTTCATGTTTTAAAGAATAATGCTATGGTTTGTTTTAAACCAAACCAAATAAAGAACACATAATTATTCAACAAATATATATTTTTTTTTTGCACATTTACATTTAATCTTTCATATTTAAGACTAGTAATGCTAAGTTAAATCCTGTTGTATACATTCACATTCTTAGTTTTTATATTTTTAGTACTTATTTACTTTGTATTTAATATTATATTGTGTTTAGATTTGCTAATATTCTGTTGTTGTTTTTTTTGCTCATATTGTGTGTTTGGACAACCTGCTGCTGTAACACCACAATTTCCCAGTTTGGGATCAATAAAGTAATTCTAATCTATTCTATATCAGAAGGTATATGTATTACTGAATCAATTTCAAACAAATTGATTAACATCAAATGGAATCGTCACCCAAAGAAACAAAATATAATTGAGTTCTGAGGTTGTTGAAAATACCCAGCCATAACCTACTAAAGAAAATCTGAATCAAGGCTTATACTGCCCATTTAATGTATCTTTTTTTTCCTCTCTATGTGTTAATTTGATGTCAAATCTCATTTTGATTTACTATGAGTGTTTATCAATCGTACATTTTCAGAAATGGGCTTTCACCTTGTTGAGCAGTGGAATATTTTCCCATTTAAACACGTCATTTGCCATCCCGAGTTTACACATGCACACCCACACTCATCCAAATCTGAGGATGTAATTGTTTCCAAGCAGCTCTTTGATGGCTGAGTCACGGAACATGTCCTGTATCATATCACGATAAGAAGAACATCAGTTTAAAGGCAGCAGCTGTTTCCCTTTTATCCTCTCTCCCTCTCTCTCTCTCTCTCTCTCCTTCTGCATCTCTCCATCCTCCCACTGCTTCCACAATGTGCGCTAAGCCAGGGAAGATAGGGCAAATCCCTCCTCTGAGCAGAGCAGGCAGGAGAGTGAGGAGACCGAGTGCAAAACGCTTCCTCAAACACTCCTCTCTCATCTCTCCTTTCATTCCCTCCATTTATCGGTATCCAACCAATCAGCATGCAGCCCCCGCTAAACCACTGTCTCCGAGCTCCACTGTGATCTCTTTGACTCCCCTGTGTGCCTCCGTGTGTGTGTGAGTGTGTGTGTGTGTGTGTGTGTGTGTGTGTATGTCATCACTAACCTGAGGTGATGATGTCAGAAAAGGTTCCTTCTTTCTAAGCTTACTTGTTTCCTCATCTCTCGTGTCTGTCACTCTAGCAAGTCTACGTTTTTCTAAAATTGAGACAACTAAACTTTTAATTTATGTAAATATTCTTCAAATGTGTTCTTATTTACTTTAAGGGGGAGTCATAGAAGAAGAAAGTTACCACCTGTATGTCTGCTGTAGGCTTTGTGATGCCTTTAAATTAAATGTGTTAGCTCAAGCTTTAAGCTTATGACATGTGCTAAAGTAGCTGCTGCTAACTTCTGTTAGGCAGCAGCTACATGGATGGCGAGTTAATTAAGTGTACACAGGCTTAAAATGAAGGAAGCTAACAGGTAGGTAACATTATACAGGAAATGTTACCCCTCATATGAACAACTATAGGAATGTTAAAGCAACAACGTGCAACTTTTCCACCTTAAAAAAGGTTGATCTACTATAACAACAACTTTCAACATGGGGAAGTCAATCCCATGTCCATAGGTCGCCCCGGTCGCCTGCTTATAGCACGATGTAAGTTTGGCAGCATGCCGTGGCACTCTCAGAAGAAAGTGTGTACATAACTAGCCAGTCTTGATACTGTTTGATAAAATGGTTAAGATACTGAAGAGGGCGGTGAGGGACGAAGCTAAGAAGAGAAAAAGAGTGACCGAGCGAGAAGGATATCGTGCATCCTTGCAGGTATTATTCATAACTGGTTGAGATGTAAAGCTGGGCTGTATCATTATCGGTGTCATTGTTGTCTCATGTTCAGCAGCTTCACCAGGTGAAGAAAGTCAACTAATAATCATCATCGTTTAACAATTTCACAGCCAGGTTTAGTCTTCCGACAGTAATTCTCATAAATACACTATTTACATTATATAGTGGAATTGATTTTATGTTTTACATAGAAAATATATCTTTATTTTTGGGTTTTTTGAGCCTTTAATGGAGAGATAGGACAGTGGATAGAGTCGGAAATCAGGGAGAGAGAGAGGGGAATGACATGCGAGAGGGAGGCCACAGGTGGGATGTGAACCCAGGCCACCTGCTTGAGACTACAGTCTCCATACATGGGGCGCGCGCCCTAACCACTGCGCCACAAGCGCCCCAGAAAATTTATCTTTAAACATTTTGTCAGCATATTAAAGTGGAAAAATGTTTTGGGAGCCGATGGCCAAGTGGCTAGTTTGCACATCCGATGTACAAAAGGCCGTTGTCTTTGAAGCGGGTGGCCCGGGTTCAAACCCAATCTGATGCTCCTTTCCTGCATGCCATTCCCCACTCTCTCTCTCTCTCCCCATTTACAACTCTTTCCACTGTCCTGTCTCTACAACAAAGGCACAAATAGCCCCCCAAAAAACCTTCTTATTTTTTTAAGTGGATATATTTTAAAACTCAGATTTTGAAATCTCAATGGCGGACTGTACTAATTACTATTTATAACAAAACATACACTAAATAGCGAGTGATTCTGGATGTGTGTAGGTCTTCTGGTTGGGATGTCGTTTCTGGTGGAAAGATCTGTGGTTCAGGAAAGATGCTAACTGGTTGCTATATAGTAACTGCAGTTTAAGCAAAATGCTCAAATGTATTTAAGGCATCTGGTTTGAGAAGATATCTGCTTATAGTCTGTGCTGTAAAGTCACATAATGCAGGGCTACATTTAGGTTAAAGGCCACAAATATTGTTTAGTCAGGCTTTAGGACCAAATGTCACAAAGTATAAACCTTTGAGATTTAAATTCCAGCACAGTTCAGCTTCACATGAGTTGGCTATCATAAATGGTAATGTGTCGCCCCTTAGTGGATAATATACGGAACACAAGCAACAGACCTGCAGTCAACAATTATATTTAATTAACAGATATGTCCATTCTGTAGCTTCTGTGATTTGAAAAAGTAGACCTATGTTTATTCTATCGTCCTAACTCTCAGGGAGTTGCATGGGATTGTGAGACCTGCTTTATGTTCAAATGTAGTTTATAAATATAAACGCATCGGATCTATAGCAGAAGAAACTGACAAGTGACCGCAAGTATTTCATCTTTACGAGGTGTAAATCTGGTTCTCTTTCAGTTGGCCAAGCTGTTTTTCCCCAGAGTCCAAACAGGTGCACTGCTCTCAGCGTGGAGTCAGGAAGCTGCGTTCAGGTGTAGTCAGGAAAATTCGTAAAATGTCAACTGGATGGTAGGTTGAAGGAATTGACGAGAAAAAAAGTGATTTTTAATTAATTAAAACAAATGTAAATGCAATTGGTTGTTCATTTACCGAGTTAATAATCTGTATAGGTATTTTTAAGAAAAGGTTTCATTTTTAATCGCTTTAATTGTATTTTTTTTTTCTTGCTATTTTTGTTGCAGAATAGTCATTCCATATAAGATTATCATTGAATTAATCAACAAAATCTTTATGGTGTTTGCAGGGATTTCATTCGCATATCTTTGCACCACATGCACTTTAACCATGACGATTTATGTCTAATAATGTAAATAAAATATATAATTACAATCGTTTAATACACGCAAATCTCAATTACAGGCTATCTGATCCCACTAGATTTTGGTTAGAGCCTATACGAGGTGTTTTCTACCAGTTATTCAAAGGATTAACGAAAAAATATATATATAAATCTGATTATTAAACTCGATATGGAACAAATAGCCTAATAAACATGTTCCATAGTGAAAGTGTCTAAAAATAAAAAGGCATAAGAACAATAGTGCTTCCTCAATAAGTCTAACGTAACTGTAAACGATCGGTCTCCTGGTTATGAGGTCATGAGTGAGTTTGCGCTGATAACTTTGTGATGTTCGGGGGGGCACCTGAACGCACCATCAGACGGTGTGCGCACTGTGCTGACGAGCCCCGTTGCTTTTGGAAACAGCTGGTAGTTTCTGTCAGCGAACACTGCGTGGCTTTGAGAGCAGCCTTTTTTTTTGGGGGGGGGACAGAAAATAAAAATAAAAAGTTGAAATTAGCTGCGAAAATTTACCGACAGCGTTTCGATTTGACTCACAGTGGCCGTTTCAGTAGACGCCGGGAAATGTCATCCTGTGAACGCCACTTCATCGGCCAGTTGTTCGTTAAAGACCTCGAAGCAGCCGGGCGGTGCTAACGCCAGCTAGCCAGCTAACTTTGTAGTCACACAGCAACAACCCGGCAGGATACACGCTTTCTGTCATTGCAGAGAAACTGTCAGCTTGTTGTTGGTGTTCTTGCAGTGTAGAAGTGAAGTGGGGCTTTTTTTTTTTTTTTGCTTAATTTCAACATGACTCATGTGCATTATAAATTCTTTTCCAAACTCAGTTACAACACGGTGGTTCACGACGGGCCGAACATCACGCTGCAGGATCTGAAGAGGCAGATCATGGACATGGAGAAGCTCAGAGTCGGTTACTGCGACCTGCAGATCACCAACGCGCAGACCAAGCAAGGTAACGACACAGCTGCGTGTGTGTGTGTGTGTGTGTGCTGACGATGAGTGTGTGTTTATCGTGACACTTTTGAACTTTGGCAGGGCAAACACGTGCTCGTGGGTTGACAGCTGTGTGGTGAGAGTGCTGCGTCAACGTTCAGGATTTGGGGTGGTGGTTGGTGGTGGAGGGGGTTGGTGGTGGGGGTCCAGAAAAGTCAAGCTTTTAACAAAAGAGTCTGATGAATGGGCCACATTCCTGCTACATTCACGCCACATGCTCCTAATCAGACGCCCTGATGGTGCAGGATCAGCCCTGACAGTGCCACGGGAGATGTGGGATAAAAATAGCACAAAAGGTGGAGAATCAGGAGCACAGCCTTGTAGGCAATAGGCATGACCTATAAGCTTTAAGACGACACACAAGCACACATACAAACAAAAATGCTGCAAGATACTCACAGTCATTTTTAAAAAGGCAGAAGGAAGGACCAGGGATCAAAGATGATTTAGTATATCCTCAGAGATTGTCTGTAGATGCAAGACCTGCAATTTATGTTAGGCTAAGCTGTGCATGCTTTTACTGCTATGTAAGAATAAAGAGAATATATGCTATTTGTGATTTAGACTGTTGGTTTGCAACCTGGGGTCCAGGGGCTTAAGATCTCAAGGGGGGCGCAAGGCTCTGTCTGCTTTAAATTTGTCAATATTAGAATTGCACATACAATTTTTTTATTTTTTTAAACATTACTGGGAAGGAGGGGAGGAGAAAAGGTTGGGAACCACTGATTTAGACAAGCACATCCAAAACCTCATCAGCAGTCAGAAATAAAAACAGTTTTTTTTTTCTAGAAATTTGACATATGAAGATAAAATGTACTAAAAGATGGTCTACCTAAAAGCCTGACTATAAAAGTGTTTTACAAAGAGATTTATTTCTATACTATTTCTATTCTATTTGATTGTGCTAGCCTCATCTCCTCACTGTTTCACAAGTACAGGTGCTCAAACAGAGAAGGCCCACTTTGTCCTGAGCCTTGACTGTGAAACAACTGAAATGGCCTTGCCAGGGGACCTCAGACAACCTTCTAGCTTTGGAGTTATGTAAATGTTGACATGTCTAAAATGACGTCATGAAGTCTTGTCGTTAGAAATTTCAATAGTCATTGCAGCATTTTGTATATCAGTGTCACTTACTCTCTTATTGACCAGAAGAAGTACAATTGATTCATCTAGAGCTGACAAGTGTTTAATAAATCAAATTGTGTTTAGCAAAAATGCATTCAGTGACTATTTTGATGACTGATCCTTGTTTGTTTGTTTGTTTGTTTTTATAAGCAAATTGCCAATAACTTCCAGCTTCTTGCTTTTCTTATCTAACCTGGCAATGACAGCAGCTGGATAAATATTTGAATTTTAAGTTCTGACAAAACAAGCCAGCTAATGCATCCCGCTAAGGCATCCCATGAACATCTCTCTTTACATTCTGTTTCCCATAAGATGACGAATGGCTGAATCTGACACTGAAGTGTTATTGGTCCTCGATGTTCAGAGCACTAATGACTAGGTGATCTCGACAGCTATTGATGTGTTCATCTTAAAGCTGGAGGCCCCCTCTAGCTACCTAGCTCAGATAAAGAGCTTTATATTCATTTATATAAGTAAGCATCAGAAAGTTTGCAGATCTTTACTGGATTAAAGGGTTTACTGGAAGACATTTGCTTATATTACATAAGCTGAACATTTTCTTTGTCAAAGAAGTCATTTTTGTGTGACTTTAATCTCACACAGTCTTCGTCTGTTTGTCTCAGAGTACAAAGATGAAGAAGGTGCGATCCCTAAGGGCTCCTCCGTCATCGTCCGGAGAATCCCCATCGTCGGAGTCAAGTCGGGCATGAACAGCAAAACACGCAACATGTAAATGTATTTCCTTATTTTTCCGGGGTGGTGGTGGCGGTGAGGGGATGCTGTGCATGTAGTGTTATTGGGGATGAAATCCTACCTTGAACTGTCCTAAGCTGCTCCATGTGCCTTTGAAGTGCCCTCCATGGGGACAAATAAAGTTTTTGAATTTGAATCCCTTCTATTGAATAGTCTCCACCCTGCCTGAAAAAGCTTCTGCTACTTAAAGAGTGAGCTAACAGACAGTAGCCTCAGTCATAGTCATTAGTAAAGTTTCTTTCTATAGCAACAAGGCAATTCAAAGTGCTTCAGACAAGACATCAAAAGCATCAAGACAAAAAAAAAACTTTAAGATAGAAAATGTTTTTAAAAAATCACTAAACAAACAATTAACATAGATTAAATGTGAAAATATGAAATACAATTAAAATACAAAAATATGATGTCAAGCTGGAAAAAAAAGACATTTAAACTCAAATCATATAAATAAACTCTCAAATGTTATCTGCTCTGCGATTCTGGAGTCTTATCCTCCCGACGGACACAGATTCCCCTGCTGGTCCTGCCTCATTGAGACTGATGTAGGCTCACAGTTTGCTCCATCTGTGTTTGGGCACAGCACTCAGGTGCCCTGGAAACCCCACCCAGGGGTGCTGTCGTGGTCATAGGAACATTTTCTGTTAAAGGCAGGCATCACATGGCCTGAGCTTGACATTGAATTCATATGATAAGCTCTTACCAGGATAAAAGTGAAGGTTATCATAATAACAGAAGGCTCTTGGGTTTTCTGTGTTTTTGGGGATGTGTGCATGTTCGCAGGGAGTTCCAGGAAGGCTAAACGATGAGTTGTGCTGAACAAAAGATTAAACATAGGAAACAAACGGTCCACCTGTTAGAGCACGTTAACACTCCCTCAACTCGAAGGCACTTCAAAGGAACTAAGACAAAATAAAGGCTTCATAGATTTTTCTAGATATGAAATCTACTGAAAAAAATGTTCACGCTCAGTCTTTAAAATAAAATGTTCTTTTTTTTTAATTCTTTATTTTGAACGATTAAAAATAGATGAACATGAATAAACAAATGGAAAAATAAATCTGTATAAAATACAAATTTAAAAAAAAGCCAATTTCAATATAATACACATTTAACTCGTTCGAAAAGGGATAGGAAGAAGCCTAGGCTTGTCAAGTCCTACCCCCATTCTTCACCATTAACAAATGCAAAATCCAATAAAATAAAATAAACAGACAATACAAAAAAAATACTCCAATTGAGCTATTAAGAAAAACAGAACAAAACAAAACAAAAAATGTGCATGGTTAGAAAACATAGCAACTAAAGAAAAATATCTTCTTGAGCCTCAGTAGCATCATAATCTTCATATTGACTATGGTCAATTAAGGGGCATTCTGGGGTAATGTAGTAAATCAATATGTGTAGTAGAAATACAAGAGTTGGATTATGTGCACTATTGTTGAACAAAAATGAGTCCCATGCTGGATGGTATGGTTCCTTAAGCCTGGCTCACACTGCAGGAGTTTTAAAATCCCTCCCGATTTTGGATTGGGGCAGCATACATGAGGAGAATCCTAACAGATATTCTACTCAGGAAGAATCGGACCTCAAATCGGCCCGATTATCCTGCAGTGTGAGGCAGGTTTAACATTTAGGATCAGGATATCAGACTGATGATGCAACCGTTCAACTCCACTTTTATGTTTTATACTTGATGTATAGTATTAAAAATAAGAATATCCAGGGGCGCCAGTGGAGTAGTGTTATTTTTGCGCACACCCCATGTAACGAGGCCATGGTCTTCCAAGCAGGCGGGTCAGGGTTCAAATCCGACCTGTGGCTCCTTTTCCTACATGTCATTCCCCTCTCTTTCTGTTTCGATTTCTGACTCTATCCACTTTCTTATCTCTGATAAAGGCACACACAAAACAAATCCACTTAGATCATAAAAAATGTTGTAGACATCGGCCCTGATTTTGCATGACTAGTTAAAAAATGATTTCTCTTTATGTTGCAGTGAGCGATCAGATGTCAAGCAGCTGCGCCACGTCCAGGGAGCCAACAGAGCAGTACGTAACCCCACCAAACAAAGCTACACCTCTCCTCACACAACTCCACTAAACACACACACACTTCTTTGATATTGTATGTTCTCTTGAGAATGGCCGAAACAAGTAGTGAATCTAAAGATTAGTTTCCTCTACAGCAGTTTGAAGTCATTCTGCAAAGAGGAAGTGTGATTGTGTGATTTAAGAGGAAGTAGTGTTCACAGATAAATCACGTTTTACAGCGGCTGTTAAAGCGACCTCCCTGAACCACAGACCTTAGTGCTTCAATCCTAATCATAAGTGTAATAATGTAACTGTAAATAAAGGCTCTTAGCTGTTTGTTTAACAAGCTGCTGTGTCACCAGTCAGCACTCATTCAGTATTTATCAGTGGGTGGTGGGAGCTGCCTGGGCGGGTCGGACATTATCACGCAGGACAGCTATTACCAGCTGATAAACCAAACGGTCTCTTCATGATGCTTATTGCACAGCAGTCACATCTCCATTAGCCGCTGAAGCTAACTTAGCATGTAGGGTACATGTATACACTTTCAGCTTCTTTTGTAAGCTAAACTGATGAAAGTCTTGAGATTATAAAATATGAGTATCCTCATAACATAATGTAACCAACAAAAGCAACTGAGCCTTTCTTCACCTCACTCCTCAGAAACCAAGTGATGCGTCATTGTTCTTTTTTGACAGCTTTGGTTCTTATCATTTAAACTATCTCACTGACCTGACCTGATTCTCTCTCTGGTTTCTCAGTAGGAGAAGTGTCTGCAACTGTGAGTCTGCTGACTCACTGTACTGTGAGTCTGTTGGACTTTTATTTTTTTTTAACGTTTGTGCTTTTTATCAATAAAGTCGTTTGTATGAAGCTGTCTTGTGTATTGATTATGTGTTTGAATTAACGCCATTTTTCCTCTTAAACTAAAAAAAAAGCTCAACATGTACTGGAATCACACCGGACACCAGAGGAGCTTAAAGGGGAACTGCAGGGTTTTTTTTAGTATTGCACTTTCACAGAGTTGGCAATATATTACCAAAAAGGAGAATTATAACTTTAGTCCTCAATTTGGGTGAAGTTTTAAATGCGCTTTCTCCTGATGTAACTTGATCGCTTCACTCTTTAGATTAAGCTGTTCTTAAGAGACAGGAAGTTCCGCCATTTACCATCGACATAGGTTTGGTTAAGTGTTCTTACTGTGGATATACGGATCAGTCAGTCACAATACTAACCCTGACCGGATCACAACACGACCTCTGTAAAATAATTTGACCAACTAAGAGGTAAATGTAGAAAAGTTGAGCGACTGAAAGAAGTCACCCGAGCAAGTACATTTTTTAGGATTACTTCGGAAACCTTGAGAAACCTCAGAAACTGTGGTAAACTATTTGAACTAACACTTTATTGCTTTGGTTGTAAAAAAAAAAAAAAAAAAGAATTTTGCAAAGAAAAGACTAAGCACAGCCAGCCAGCTGTGTCTGTGTTGTGCGAACATGTTCACAATGATGATTGATGATGTTAACATGCTGATGTTCAGCAGGGTTAATATTTATCATGATCACAATGTCAGTGCATGCTAATGTTGTGGCAACAGCAGGGACAATGACAATGTTGACACTGTCGTCCATTAAGCAGATATTTGGGTGAAAAACAAATTTTCAACAAATAACAAAATAGAGTCTGGTTGTGGTGCTGGATGGAAAGTAAAATGATCAAAATGTTTTTTGGAGTTATCCTCCAAGGGCCATAAATGTCTGTACTTAATAAATCAAACAGTTGTTGTGAGCAACCATCCAAATGGATAAATAATATCCTCATCTGTCCTTGTATTGATTTGTCTTGTGTGATCCACTTATCTTTTCCAGCACAAAACAGACACAGGTGGTCAGTAACACTAAAGGACTGAGTTCTAGGAGGCTCTGTGGTAGACGTGATGATTTTTGTTTCACAAAGTCCCAACAGGTTACAGTTTGTCAGGGGCATTGTGGCATTGTCGTCTTTATTTAAATATTACACTCCGATGAAATATGCTGAAGCAGTTATCGGATGAAAATCAGTTTATTATCCACTTTATGGAAATCATTGCAGGATGCTGATGTTGATTTGATCTATGAAAAAAAATGGGTTCAAGGGTAATACGGTATGACTTTTAGGTAACAACAGTGTTAAAGGATTACGTTTAACAGGACAAATTATCTCGCTGGGCATCCATCATGTTAAAAGGAGAGCTCTCGTTAATTTTCCGAGACATGTAATCCAGAGGCTCTCATCTCTTTACACGTAAAACTGATATTGTGTTTAATTCTAACAGATGGCCGACCAGAGTTCATCCAAAGAGTCACTCTTTTTCTCTCAGGTATACTCTCCTTTTATAACTTTCATAGTTTGCCTTAACTCTGTGAGCCATTTTTGTAGGGAAAAAAAAACCCACATTATTTTCTCTTGCATACATTCCTTTGTGTCCATGTACAAACTAGATGGCTAACCTGGCTGATGCAGACGCGTCTGAGGAGGATAAGATCAAGCGCATGATGAATCAGTCATCCTATGATTCCATGAAGTGAGTCTTCCTGTAACTCTTTCTAATCTACTTTCTTTTCTTTTTTTTCTCCATTTTTGTAAAATCTGCACCTCTGTTTGTTAAGCCGTCACTCTCAGGATGGGAGGCTCAGTGGTGTCATGATGTTGTACTGCTGTTTTCCACATCACAACTTCTACACATTTTTGTCACTTGACACTTTTTATAATTTCACCACTTTTTGATTCAGGCACAGCTTTAAAAAACAATGAAAAGTTAGGATACAGAGAGAAACCTGCCAATATTTCTAAGTAAAGTTACCTACTTGAAATCAGATAAGCTCCTTTTAGACAACTGAGGAACTAGCTAACATTACAGTTAGATAGACGGTATGTGTATCTGGAGGCTTATACTTTTATTGGTCAGTGTGTTACTTCCTACAAAAGAAAATACATGAATATCTACATTTTGTGATGTTAGATTGAAGGTTAGGCCTTCTTTCTTTTCATTAGGACACGTAGCTAGGAAGCAGTTGAATGCTAACAATAGCCGTTTTAGCTTGAAATACAAGCATATCTTTAGTTTTACATTGATTGGCTGGCAGTGAAATAATAGTTTGTCTATATTCATACTGCTGTGAAGCTAAAACACAGGTATGACTTTAAAAAGCCTTTGAGCCTCCCAACCTGTAGACACCAGAGGAAAATGGCCGCTGTGAATTTGGACGAACTAAACATTCATTCCTTATTCCCCTTAATCCTTTTTACTTAAATATGTACAATATTTACAATATTTATTTATTTGCTTTTTGTCCTGCTTTTCTAAAAAATGTCCTTCCTTCATTTCTTTGTCTCTGTAGTTACAGCAATAAGTTTGGTAACCCTCTTCCCTTAAACTACGTCTGTTATCGCTGTGGGAATACCGGACACCACATCAAAAATTGTCCCAACAGTAAGGTGAGCGCAACGTCTGTTTCTATATTTTACTGAATAACTACTTCTTATGTATGTGTGAGTTTTAACATTTTCTTAACTTCAAGCCTTGCATAAAGTGGACATGTATGTTTGTGTTTGAATGCAGGATAAAAATGTTGAGACCCCTGTGAAAATAAAAAAAAGCACAGGAATTCCTCGCTCCTTAATGGTAGAGGTTGATGATCCAAGTATGAAAGGAGCCATGCTCACCAACTCTGGACGTTACGCCATCCCTGCCATCGACGCGTGAGTAAATGGGTCAATGTCTGTTCCTCTGAAGGAGTAGTTCCACTTTTGGGGGGAATCACTTTCTCTGTGAGAAGATCGATACCACTCTCATATCTGTCTGTGAAATTAAAGGCTCTAGCCAACAGCAAGCTAGCTTAGCTTAGCATTAAGACTGAAAACAGGTTGTGTCTTTTGGTAAGCGTTTCTGCCTACCAGCACCTCTCAAGGTCACAAAATAACATCTTTACTGTATGTATGTGAAAGTGTTTAATTCATCAATATAAATAATATAATAATTTTAAAGGCTTTATATGTGATTTTTTGATCCAGCAGATGTCGCCCTTGAGCACCAGCGTGAAACCAAAACAACTCGCGCTGCATTGTTGTGTTAGCATGCTAATGCTAGCGATCTTTATTATGCTCGTATCTTCACACTGCATGTAAATTTACCTGAAATGAGCGTGATCTAGAAACACAGTTAAGCAGTGAGTACAGTATGTTATTCTTCTTTTCTCTAGTCCCTCAATTAAACAACTTTTATACGCGAGGGGAGGAGTCAGCCGCTGTCCGGGCGATGTGAACAAACTGAAGATAGGACCCGGAAAACTCGGAAAGCATCACAGACAGTGGGACTTGCGTGTTACACCCATTGTAGACAGTCATGACTCACAGAGTTATTTTCAGAGGATATACTTGATTTCTATTATATTTAAGTGTGAAAAATCACATATAAAGCCTTTAAATCAAACATGCAAAATAAGGCAGAAGACAGGTTGAAAGGTGGAATAGGCCATTCAGTACACATTAACCTACTGGTGTGAGTTTATGTATTTTCAGTAACAGAAATAAATGTAAAACAGAAATATTAGTAAAATCTGAATAAGTAATTTCTAACATTTTTATTTCGTTTTTTTCATGTCTGGTTTGCCGAGAATAAAGGAATTCAACCAATTGTGTTGACATACTTGGAACATGTCCTTTTCCATCCAAAATTTGGATCTAATTTTTCTATAAACAAAAACGAGAAAAAAATGTTTTTAATGGTTTAAAATGACCCCCAAATATCTGTCCAATTAACTATTGTGTGTACATAGGGAAGCATACGCCATCGGCAAGAAGGAGAAGCCTGCGTTTCTTATGGCGGATCAGCCAGAGGCAGTCGAGGATCCTGTTCCTGATGAACTTCTCTGCCTGATCTGTCGAGACCTGCTGAGTGACGCTGTGGTCATCCCCTGCTGTAAAAACAGCTACTGTGATGACTGTGAGCGACTGTCTCCGTGCTACTTTGTAACTCCCAAAATGAAAGAACCAGTTGATCTGTAATACGTTCAGCAGATTCAGAATCTATACAAAACCTGTAAACAAACAGTGGAATGAAAGCTGCTAAAATATTCCCAATGTTGTCTTAGAAAAGGGTTATTTTGTATCTTTATCATCTCAGATATTTAAGGAATGCTTTGGCCATATTTCAGTGAAGGACTAATTTACCTCATTATTCTCATTATTTTCACTTCACCTGTTTTTTTCCTTGATTCAGGTATCCGCACTGCCTTACTGGATTCTGAGGAACACACCTGCCCCACTTGTAACAAATCAGATGTCTCCCCCGATACCCTGATAGCCAATAACTTCCTCCGACAGGTGATTGTCAGATGTATAGAAAATATATTTTGCTTGAGTTGAGGAGTAATGGAGGGAAGTGAAGTAACAAAGGAAGGGGTTGTATATATTTTATCACCTCTTTTTGTCCCTTATTATGTTGTTTTATAGTTCTTAACATCAGTGTAGTAACGCTCTGACACGGCCTCCCCTCTCTTCCATCGCAGGCTATCAACACTTTTCATAAGGACCGAGGAAACTCCAAAACACTGAGAATAGGGTGTGGTACCTCGCAGTCCAATAACCCAACCCCAAATCCGAGCCCAGCTCCCAGCCCGCCCCCTCTCTTTCCACAGATTCAACCTCAGAAGCCTGCCCAACTAATCCAGAGCCAACAGGTGAACCTTATAATTATTTGTTTCATCAGAGAGGAAAGATATATGAACAGCATTTAAACCTGCAACTCAGTCGCAGACAGAATAATTACAGTATTTTTGATCCCAGTCAGTCGTCTTTCACATCTCAGGGTGACAGTTGTTTTCAAGAACTCTTGAAATCTGAGCTTTTGGAGCATTTGCCATATCTAAACAAACAAGAAATGTGCTTTTACATTGTGTAGCTATACTTTGTTACTGTTTGTCATATAAGATATGGTTGCTTTTCATGCTAGTTCAGTTGTATTCTGATCCCGGTTTTTTTCTTTAGGATCCTCTCCTGCACAGTTTAGAGACTGTTGACACACCATCATTGTCTCAGGAGTCTGAGGCTCTTCCCTCGGCCACAGGCCCCACCTCTGCTTCAAATACACCCGAGAGGTCCCCCCAGACTCTGCAAATCCACCAGGAGACAACTGAGTAAGCTAGTTTTCTTAAGGGTTTGCAGTGAGTCATGTCTGGCCTGGTTAAAGAGCTAAACTTAATCTGACATATCTTCATGGTCCCAAGAAGTTAATATTTTATCTTTTCTATATATATATCTTTTCTATATTTTAAGTCCTAATTTCTCCAGATATGGCCTTCAAGTGCACACAGGCACTAAACATGTGGTGCAATCTTTACTTGGATATGATGCCATGAAGAGACTTAAAGGAATTACACTTTTGTTCCTCTCTGATCTTTCTGCTGTTTAATCAGAAAAGCTGAAGAAAAGACAGAGGATGAATCAGAGGCTGCTGCTGCTGCTGCTGCCCCGTCTGGACTTGTTTCAGAAACTGCTGCTCCATCAGAGATCAAACCACTGGTGAGGACACACACACACACACACAGAAACACACTCACACACACACACACACACACACAGAAACACTGACTCCATACCGCAAAGTTTCTCCTTGTGATATCGGGGGTGCTTGTTTCTGCTCAGGTTGACCACACTCCAGCGGTTGAGCATTCACAGTCGGTCAGCATGAATCAACTGAAGTCTTCCTCAGGTGAGAGACTAAACTTCTCATCTCTTCATCAAACCGTCTGTTTTGTTCCTGGTGTGTTATATCATTTGCATAAGAAATTCATTTTGTTGACATATTGGTCACACGTTTCTTCCTCTTGTCCCACAGGATCATGGAGTGAATTGAACCTACAGCACCTTCCTCCTCCCTCTTCTTCTTCTTCCTCCCCGTACCCTCCAACTCCCCCGCCTCTCTTTGCCTCCCCACATTTCCCCACATTCCAGCCTCTCAGCGGATACCCCTCTGGATACCCACCTGCCACTCCTGTCTGGACTTTCCCAACACTTACTAGAGCCCCCATTCCCTCCCTCTGCTCCACTAACTCCTCCTCCCCCATCCCCGCTCTCATACCCAATGATTGGTACATGTATCAGAGGAAGACGAAGGAAAGGTAAACACTACTCTACACTTAACTGGACTTACCAGTTAAGTGTAACCCTTATCCAGTTATACTCATGTCATCATAAATGTCAGTTGCTGAAAATGTTTCTAAACATCCAAAGTCCATTGGCTTCATGAAGGAGATCGCTTTAGACGTTAGATTTTACAGTCTCATAGTCTCTCTACGTTCTCTCCTATGTCCTTCAGATCGCCTCACAGAGGATCTGTCTACAGACACTCTTCAAAGTCATCTAAGTCCAAGTCCTCTCACTCCTACCCGTCAAGCAGATCTAGATCACGTTCCAGGTCCAGGTCCAGGTCCAAAGGCAGTCCAAGGTATAAATATGATCTTTTGTATTTCTTTTAATGTGTTGTAGGAGGACAAAAATACTGATAAGAAGAAGAAATCCCTGCATCCCCTAAGCTGTTCTCCTCTCTTTGTCACTCAGGTCACCTCACAGAGGATCAGCCTATAGACGCTCTTCAAAGTTGTTCAAGTCCAAATCATCTCACTCTTACCCTTCAAGCAGATCCAGGTCCAGGTCCAGATCCAAAGGCAGATCAAGGTATTTTATGCCCTTTCTTTTTTTTATGTCAATTCAGATTGGTAATCACCTGCATTGTAATTATGAAGGCCTGACAAGTACTGATGTGATTTTAAGGGTGTTGGAAAAATGTGAAAATGCTAAAACAGTAAATAGTGTGCAACTAATTTTAGCCCCTTATGGATCCTGCAAAATTTGCCTAAAAAATCCTATCCGAGGAAATTGATTGCTGCCCTTGAACCGTTACGGACTACAACATAAGACGTAAGACATGAATGAATATAATCCTTTTTTAACATTTTTCCAGGCCCCACTCATCTTCCTCCCGCCACAGAGATCACCGCACCAGCTCCCATTCCTCCCATGCTTACAGCTTTGGTTACAAGCGTTCGCACTCTCCTACAACGTCCTCGTCCTCTTCACCTCGAGCAGGTAACCATTCCAGGCATGAGTCACCATCACATCATCCCCATCATAGAAAGAAATCGGCTACAAGCAGGTCCAGGAAGGGAGGAGAGCACCACAGTGAAGAGGGTGGCTCTGCTGGAAGTTCAGCTGGTTACATGTATCCTCAGAATGCAGAGCAAACGAGCAGCCCAGAGATGGACAGGCAGCGCTACCTTCAATGGAAAAGAGAATACAAAGAGTGGTGTGAGAAACATTTGAGCAGCTACCTGGAGCACTTCCACCAGCTGCCTCCTCTTCCTCCTTTTCCTTTTCCTCCTGGCGGGGACAAAGAAAAAAGCAAATATAACAAGCACGCCAATTTGCGTGACCAGCACCAAGGACGATGTGCTTCCCGGACACATTACCACTCCCCTCCGTCACAGTCCTCCAGTGACAGCTGCTCGACTTCATCTCAGTCTTCAAGTGACAGCAGCTCCAAATCATCTCATGCATCTAGCGACACAAGCTCCTCCCCAACACATTCAACGAACCGCATTCGTTCCCCTACTTCTCTGAATTCCAGTGACAGTCGCTCAACTCAGTCTGAAGACGGAGCTCAGCAGAGGTGCGACGAGAAGTACAGCAAGCGGCCAGACACGCATAAAAAGGAAAGTGAGGGGGTCGGAATAAGAGAAAATAAAAATGTGAAACAGCTTAAAGTGAAGAATTTGGAGAATGTAAGCACCCTAAAACAAGAGGAAAGAAGAGGAGAGGAGTCTTCAATGGACGACTGCAAAAAGGACAACAAGAGCCAAAGTATCTGTAATGATGGTTCCACAGTAGAAGAAGAGGCAACCGGCAGCAAGGCCAGTGACAGTCGCTTAACTCAGTCTGAAGACGGCGCTAAGCAGAGGTGCGACGAGACGTACAGCCAGCGGCCAGACACACATAAAAAGGAAAGTGAGGAGGTTGGAATAAGAGAAAATAAAAATGTGAAACAGCTTAAAGTGAAGAATTTGGAGAATGTAAGCACCCTAAAACAAGAGGAAAGAAGAGGAGAGGAGTCTTCAATGGACGACTGCAAAAAGGACAACAAGAGCCAAAGTGTCTGTAATGATGGTTCCTCAGTAGAAGAAGAGGCAACCGGCAGCAAGGCCTCAGAATCAGCCAAACAACACATGAAACCAGATAAGTATTTGGATAAAGACTATGACAGAGAAAGCAGGGAACAAAGGAATACAGATGTAGAGAAAGGAATGCGAAGAGACAAGTGCTCAGACTCCAGGATTTCGAGAGATGTCACAAAGAACAAAGAAAGATCCAGCACAGGGAAACACGGGATGGAGAAACACAGACACAGACACCCCATAGCTTCTGACTCCAGATCTGAAAAGAATAGAAAAAGAAAAGGAGAGGACATGGAGAGAAGATCTGAAAAGGCTCAAAGCAGCAAATGGCTGAAAACTAAAACTACAGAGGTCCCTGAACCCCTCCAGGGGGAATCCCAAAATCCATTTGAGAGAACAAAGCAGAAACCAGAGAAGAAATATGAGAAGAAAGCATGGTCTCTGGCAGTCAAAGACATCTGGGAGGATGGGATGAAAGTAAAACCACAGAAGAAGATAAGCATCAACATCAAGCTGGATACAAAACCGAACGAAGACAAAACTGAAGCACATGCCACGTCTTATTCAAAGGAACAAATTGAGCAGGCGGGTGCTAGAGAGGAGGAGATTGGGATTAGAGGAGAAATGGAAACTGACACAGATCAAAACAAGGAATCCAGCAGAGACCAAGAAGAACAAAAAGTAAAGATAGAAGGAGAGGCAAGACAGCTGTGGGCGAAAAATACCTTCAAAGAGGAGACGGTAGATAAAACAGACGTTAGAGGTAAGAAAGAGGACAGAGAATATGAGGAATTGGACAAATGGGACTTTGAGGAGGAGAGGGAAGAGGAGGAAAGTAAAAACTTGTGGGTGGATAAAGAAAGGATGAAGGCCAGTGATGGAGAAGAAGTGATGGATGATGAAGAGAGGAGTGTGAGAGGAAGAAAGGAAAAAGAAAGAGGGGTAAGGAGCGATTGCAGAGGTCAAGAGATGGGAGAGGTGTTTTTAAGTACCGAGAAAGAGGGAGCCAAAGGTGAAATCGCAGGCAAGGAAAACAGAGAAACCCTGCTGGAGAAGGCAGAGCCGAAGGAGATGGAGGGGAGGACAAAAGAAAGAGACGTATCGATGTCAAAGTCACAGAGGAGCAGAAGTGAAAGCAACCAAGAGCAACCGAACACCACTCTGGATGAAGACAGGTTAGGATGTTTCTTCTTTCTTCTTTTAATCTTCTTTGTTCAAAATTTGAATCTTAGATCTTAATTTAACAGATCACTAATCTAAATCACATATTTAAATACATATCCTGTGATTTTCTTCAAACGAAAACCAGTTAAATATTTCAGCATGCACTAGCAGCAAAGATGGGTATCATCCGGATTTTATCGACACCAATGCTGCTTATCGATACACAAAACTTAACGATACATATACATAATACTCTTCATTATTTGGTATAACAAATAAAGCCATGCCATAAAAGATATCTTAATGTAAAAGATTCTGATAGTAGCATATAAACTCTTATTGTTATACTTTTATTTTCTCATTAATTAGGCTATTAATAATCAGGCTAATAGTTTACGACGCGCTCTCTGATGCGTCTTGCGTTACGTTAGAACGTCAGTCTGTAAAAAATTATAACCACTCATTTAATCCTGAACTAATTCCAGTACCTATGTTATTGATTACTTTAATCAACAAACCAAGACTACTTCAGATTTACATGAAACGGTGTCAGTAGTGTATGGTATATTTTTTTATTTTCTTTCACCTCTTTGAAATCACAAGTAATTAGACAGTCGTTATATGTAAAAGCTACTTACACAGTGATCCTTCTTCCAGTTCTTTTTTATAGAATAGATTTAAAATGAAAGAATACAGAACATACAAAAAAAAAAAGGGAAGTAAACGGAGCCACGCATGTATAAACACAGGTTTTCCTACTACTCTGTATTCTGTGTGTTTGTGTGTTAAAGCAGCAGCTCTGAGGGTTGTCAGGAGAGAAAAGGGTTGCTGAAAACTCTGGAGGAATACACTGATGACACAGCTGCTGACGAGCTCGTTCTCAAACAGGTTTGTGTTAGGGAGTAGCCTGCAGAATGACACTAAAGAAATTAAAATGTGTGACTCAACAGTAGTTCTGCAGGTGTTTTGTATTATTAGTAACTCTTTAATTGTACTACAAGTTTGAATTGTTATTTTTAGTTAAGAGGTTTATTCTGCAAGAGATTTACAGCCTCAGCACACATGGATACACGTCAGACAAAAACAACTTGTTTTCTCAGTCTTTACTCTCTCTGTCAGGTCCCACGCTCCAAATGGAAGAAGGAAGAGTCTGAGGACAAAGTGTGTCTGCCCTCCACGTCTGTGTCTGTGACAGCAGAGGCAACAACCATCCAAGAAACCGGGAGAGAGACCGCACGTCAGAGAGAGACGTCAACTGAAATAGTTAGAGAAAAGGTGAAGGACGGAGGTAGAGGCAGGGATGGGGAGAAAAACTCACACAGAAGTGTGGCTCCCTCTAGTGGCAGAGACCGACACGACAACACCCCTTGTTCAGACAGAGACAAGGTGGGAGAGAGGGAGAGTGAGAGATGGAGGGAAAAGCATAAGGAGAGCATAAGATCAAAAGTGAGAACAAGGGAGGAGGATAAAGGGAGAGACAGGGAGAGAGAGAGGAATACTTCCAGGAATGTCCCCCCCTTGTCTCACTCTCACTCCTCTTTGACAAAACATGACTCAGGGAGGAGAGAGAAGCATCCAGAGGGTGATCAGAGCAGGAAGAAGAGTTCCTCATTCCCTGTTGGGAATTCCTTCAGTGGCAAAAGCTGTGAAAGCAGCGCAATAAGTAACGCTTTCAAACTGCCTGATGAAAATGTGCCCAAAAGAGATAGAAACATGTCACTTGACTGGAAATGTAAAGACAGAGATCGTCCCAGTTACAGCTGGGAGAGAGACCAACTCTCTTCCAAATCGTCTGAAGGGTCAGCGATTAGTAAGCCCAGAATAGGCAGCTCCGGTCGAGAAGTAACGCACAGCAGTAGAAATGAGAGCAAGGTTGAAAATAAAGAATGGAAGGAGAAAAAAATGAATAAAGTGACAAAAGAAAGAAAAGAAAATCAGGGATTTTTCGCAAGAGAGAAGGAGGTAGTGGACGGAGGCATGAGGCGTAAATCTGGGCAGATGGACTACGCTGACAGGAAAAAGATGGAGGATGGGGAGAGGCCGAGCAGCCGCAGCAGCAACAGTTCTTCATCGAGCCAGGAGAGCTGCAGGGACAACCGGAGAGTAAGAGAAGACGCACAAAAGCTGCTGGAGGAAAAAGGAGGCCTTGTGAAAAGCAAAGATGAGGAGAGTGACGGAGGGGTGAAGGACCACACCAAGCTCTGCTCAGTTACGTCATCTAATCGTCATGGAAAGAAAATCTAATTTACTTGAATAATGTTTTTTTCTTTCTCTGTGCAAAAGTGCCTGGATTATTCTTTTTTTCTTTTTTTTCGTTTCACTTAAAAATATCTCGTATCAGACATGCATCACTCTATGAAAGTAAACAAAATGTGAAGCTAAAGCACTTTAAGAATACAAATGAAAAAAGCAAATGAATGTGAATGACATCAAGTGTAAAACCTTTGACTTCTTGATACTTAATAGTTTGAGTAATTTGCACAATTTGCAGGACTGCCAACAACTATGGTTTACCTACTGAACATGCAGGATCACAACTAGCAGAAAAAGAAAATATTTATTTTGACAGCAGGCCAGTCGGTCTCATACAGGAGCACAAAGTGCGTCAAGTTTTGCTGAACGCAGTTTGTGATCAATTGAAAACAAATACTGTCCATATTTATGATTTGAACCTCTGTGTTGTATTTAATTTTAATTATTAATTTTGTAAATATTTGGTTTAAATAAAGGAAATGCTGGATGAATGATGAATGCATAACCAGAGGAAAGTTTAGTTTTTTCCTATTTTGAAGGAAATAAAAAAGAAACATCCTTAAAATGTTTGGTGTCTCAATCGTCTTTCTTTATTTTTTATGTTCTCTCTATTTTATTATACATTAGCAATTAGCAGGCTAGTGCTAGCTCGTGAGCATCATGCTCCCCTTTGACACATAATAATAAACCAAACAGAGAAGAACATTAACAACAGCAAAATACTAAAAAATAATTAAATACAATTCAACAGAAAAGAACCCAAAGTGCACGATACCCAACAGACATATATAACCCGACCATCACAAGAACCATCATAAGAACCCAGGCAACACAAGAACCCAACAACACGAGCTGAGACCAAGAGAACCAAAGATTTAAAAATATGTAAGAAACTAAGAGCTGAAAAAAATAAATAAAAGATAAGAGCAATAAGAAGGTAAGAGCAGTAAAAGAAATAGAAACAAGTGGTTAAAGGATCAAAAAACCCAAAACTATAATATTAATAAAAATAAAAAGTAAATATAAATATGAAACATAAATAGACAAAGTAAGTAAGATAAGAAATTATCAAGTTAAAACACAAGAGGAGATTAAGATATGAGCATAAATACGAGATAAGAGCATAAATAAAAGAACAGTAAGAAGTAAAGAAGATAAAAAAATAGTAAAACCAGTAAGAGAAGACATTAAGAAGAACATGCACTCCTGAAGATTTTTAAGACATTTCAGGACATGTTGCCCCTGAAATCTTTCTCATGGTGTATTCACACATGCACAAAGTCCTAAAAATGTCAGCACATTTCCATGATAAGCTGCATGTGTGAAGACCCTGACTTTAGTCTTAATTCTGTCCTGCCAGCCCCCTAGAAATACTGCGCCGATCGGGTGACTGCAGCAGGTAATCTTCACGATCAAGCTGGAGTAGCTGATGACCTGCTTCATACTCTGCACACCAGCATGATCTTTTTGATTGGTTCGTTGATACTGTTAATAAATACAATCACACGAAGAATTGATTCTATGGCAAAAACCGTCATTATATTGTTGGCCACCATCTTGGATTTCCACTACATCAAGTCCTGCCTCCTGTGGGATGTTTCAATAAGAAGCTCTGGAAGAGTTCAGGGCCCCCTGTCTGAAACTTTTCTAGAAATGATCTGTAGTTTATGTGTTAAAGTGGCTCAAGTTTCACTTTCACACGTCACTCACTGATGGACAATTTCCTTTGTCAGACAAGAGAGGAGGGGTCTCGAGAGCGCAATCATTGGGGTTAAAGGGACCATGTGGAAGTCACAGTTTGCTTACAACATTTCCAAGATGGCAAGTGAAGCCACAGTGTCTAACACTACAATAACAGTGTTTGTATTCACAGTATTGTACCGTGAAGATTTTAAAGATATAGTAACCCAATGCAGAGAAATCAATGTCTAAAGTACAGGACAATGATCTCAAGTTTGTTCGTTTGTTTATTTGGATCCCCATTAGCTTGAGCATAAGCAATAACTTATTCCTCCTGGTAGATTCACATTCTAAATCAGGGCACACAAACATTACACAACGTACATCACATCTACAGTGACAGAAAAAACAATCAACACAAACTTAAAGAAACAGAAGACAGAAAGACTTTGTCTGAATCTGATATCCAAAATCTAAAAAGGTAAATAGCATTAAATAAGAGGGTTAAAGGGAGCTGAGATAAATGTGTTAGGAATGAACTTGCATGCTTTTTAGCATCATGTCTGTGCTGTCCTTAGGGTTTGTTTGCTCGTTGCCATGACATTGCTTTTTACCTCAAAATAAACTAAAATGTGAAGGTGTCTCGTCTTCCTACAGGTTGTTCTCTGTTAGCCTCTGTAGTGTTTTTTTTCCCTTAGTGTAGGATATTGGAAGATGTTAAAAACAAACAAAGACATGTTCAATATGTCTAGCGCCCGGCTTGTGTTATTGTGTGTGTACGTGTGTGTGAGAGAGTTGATGCTTGAAGTGTATCCAAGCTTTTCTCGCCTCATTAACTCACCACAGGGAAGACATGGCAGAGCTCCAGCCGCCTGTGTCTCTTTCTGTCTCCTCACTATGTTGTCGATGTGACCGTGAGCGCTTGTGACGGTTGTGCCAAGGCATGCTGGGATTGAACAGGGGAAATCTGGTGGGTGTGAGGATGCTCGACCTGGCTCGTGTCCCAAATGTTGGACTGAAGGGTGACCGGAGAGTCTGAAACACATTCCAATGGCTTGTGGCGCTTCGCTGCGTGTCCTCCAAGATGGCTTCCAAGCTCTCTGGGACGCCCTGTTTCCTACTGTGTTTCATCTGCAGTTGTTTTTTTGTTTGGTTTTTTTGGGGGGGCTCTGACTGCTTTTGTGCTGTCTGGCATATCGTGTGTGTGTGTGTGGGTTAACACTGCAGACACATACACATAGATGGTAGCAGACTATAACTATATATTTCAGGCTGGCCTTGGATGCTAAAAATAGAAAAACTTAAGAGACAAAATATAGATAAATACACAGACATGCACAGAGAGACACGTCCAGACAGACAGATTCAGATGGACAGACAGGTAGTTGCTCTGATTGAACAATAAAGCAAAATGTACATTAAGATGTCAAAAAAAACCCACTCAGACACTGACCCTGTGTAACACAAAGGCACATTAGAAAATATGAGACATCAGGCAGACAGATGCTCAGACAAAGATCCAGACATGCAGACGGATCGAGACACAGACAGGTGGACCCTGTAGCAATCAGGAGCAACATCCCTCCTGTTCTACCCTGTGTGGCGAGGATCAGAAACGAGGTACGCTTTGTCAGATTTATCTTCAGTCTGCTTTATTTCCGTCGTCCCACCACCCACTTTGTTTCCTCCTCTCTTCTTATTTTAGCCTCTTCTTTTATTGTTGACGTGTCTTTCATTTTGTGTCTGGGTTTCCTTCCATCCTTTTGTGCCTGTGATGTGTGCCGACGTCTCAGGGCGCCGTGCCAGCGCTGCCTGATGAAGACCGAGCTGTGTGTGCTCTTGTTTGTGTGTGTGTGTTGGTGTATGCAGATTGGCTTGTTTTGGGGCGCCGGTGGCAGCTGCAAACACTTGTTTATTGGCACCGCAAGGAAATGGACTTGCTGCCAGTCTGCCCTTTGAAATAACAAAACCCATACTTTAGAATTTGCAATGTCAGAAATGTCCATCAATGTGGACAACAAATCCCTTTTTTTTGGTGCATTCGAGGTCATTTAAAACAAAAACATGTTTGAAATTGCAGTTTGCAGAATCCTCCTTTCTCCACCCTGATTCCATTTTTTATATTATGTTGCAGCTTATTGCTCCTTGATTATTTATCAGAAAATATGATGCATCAGGAAATAATTAAGATAATAAGAAAGCAGAAACAAAATCAGTATAAAAACATATCGTAAGTATATTCACTATGGCAGCAGTAATGGAAAGCAGATGCATATGATAGTCAGTAATAAATACATAATCATGCAGCAAAATACCTTTACCTTCTTAGGTTTAATCACTCACTTAGGTTAAAGGTGCACTACTGCAATATTGAAATACTGCATGACAAGTAGACGGTGTGCACATAAATATCTGCTAAAATACTCTCCACAAATTGAAAGTAAAAGCACAATATGTTTCATTAAAAGCTGCCATGTTTGTCCTTGCATATTAGATTATGAGATCCATTTTATGAATGCATCAGTGTGTGAGAAGCATTTTACTCTTACACTAAACTACCTTCAAGAACTAAGTAAAATGCTTCTCACACACTGATGCATTCATAAAATGGACATATTCTAATGATATGATCATATTTTATATTTCTGTATAAAGCACAGTATCCCTCCTCTGGGTGTAGTGGAATAGCATAAAATACAATTGCCTTAAAATGCTGTCTCTATGTGTACATACTACTCCTAGAGCAGTGTGTGTGTGTGCGCGGGAGAGAGAGAGTAAGAAATCAGTTCCAACTTAAACATTGCATTAAGTCTGTTACAAGGTCTGAGGTCAGAGGAAACTAAACATCGTTTTTTTTCATTTGTTAGTTTTTTACATTTTAATGTCTAAACAAGTGACAAAAAGGTGATGTGTAAATAAGTCGTAGGTTAAGTGTCCTCTAGTGGGGAGTTGTGGTAAAACAGGGACATTCAAACCAATAAAGCCAAAACTTTAGTCCAAAGTTCCATCATTCTTATCATTGTAGAGGATTATTTCAGTGTTGGTTAATTTTTAAAACATTTTTTACAAACAGACAGCACGTTGTGGTTTTACTCTTCTTTCTGTCGCACCCTTCTCAAACTATTAAAAAAGTTTAAAGAGGTAAGGCGGCATTGATAGAATGAGTGTAGTGGTGGCAGATGTTACTCTGGCAGTGATGAAATTTAGACGTGTGTGTGTGTGTGTGTGTGTGTGTGTGTGTGTGTGTGTGTGTGTGTGTGTGTGTGTGTGTGTGTGTGTGTGTGTGTGTGGTACTACGTGCCATTGTGTATATGCAAATTAGTACTGCTTTTGTGTTTCTTAATCTTGTATGGTATTTAGCATTTGTAATGTGTCATGACACCATGTGCCCCATGGTGTGTGTGTGTGTGTGTGTGTGTGTGTGTGTGTGTGTGTGTGTGTGTGTGTGTGTGTGTGTGTGTGTGTGTGTGTGTGTGTGCATGTCTGAACTCCAGCATGGTCATGTCTGTGACCACAACTGTGTGCAGAATAACAATGAGCATCTTAGGATACCCTGACTTTGTGTGTGAGTGTGTGTTTCTGTAAATGGGAGTATGAGTGAGCATGTGTGTGTTTATTTTCCTACACACACACACACACACACACACACACACACACACACACACACACACACATGCACACACTGACTGACTGAATCCATCCTCTCATCCACTCTGCAGTGTGTAGCAGGTTTTTTAGACAAGGTTTTGGACCCCAGAAACAGCTACTAGACAAAAAACAATATCCCCCCCTCTCTAATTATAAGCCGTTAAACTCAATAATATGATATAGACATTATTAGTAAAATGAGCTTTTGTAAAAAAAAGACGCTTAAGTTACCAGGAA